AGCTTGCCTTTTCTCAACGCTGCAGCTCTCTTCCCGCTTCCGTTTACCATGTGCAGCACTTTTCCCGGTGCTGTGAGAACCCGATTTCTCCAACTTCCGCTTTAGCTTTGAAAAATCACCAACAATCTCTCCGTTTTTAGAAGTGAAAGGCATATTTCGCTTCTCGCTTAAAGAGATGGCTTTCTCTTCCGACACTAAGCAAGCATGACGGACTATGGTAGGAAGTAGTCGATCGCAATGGGCAGTGTGGAATTGGCTAAATGTAGCAAAGCAGCTATTCCAGTAGCTTTGGTATGCTTTTGAGAGACCGCCAGCACGCACTCTGTTGGCCAAAGCAAGGGCAAAAGGTCTGCCATCTCCCGGTACATGGTCCTCACTCTAAAAGATTCTATGCAGTGAAGAGGGCTCTTCGTGAATAGGACTGAAAGGCACACCTTGGTTAAACCCAAGTTGTCGTTTGACTCGGTAAGGTGAATAATGCACAGAAATTTCCAGGTGGTCGTCACTCAGTGTAGGCAAAGGAAGGCATGCAGCACTTAGCAACGCTTCCCTTCGTAATTGACGGCATTGTGCTGTCATTATTGGGGCCCCAACTAGATCAGCGGAATCAGCGTAGAAGGGTATACATTTAAATCCCTCCATTAGAGTACAGTAAGGGAGAAAGATAAATCTCTCAACATCATCCAGCAGCTCTAGGAAATTCTGGCCCTTCCTTTGCATCTGTCGTGACCACCTGCAAATCAAAGGGAGACTTTTTGGTACACAGGAACCCTCATAAGAATCAGCAAGTGTCTTAGCCTTCGAGTAGGGAAGTGGTGATACCTCTATCCCTTGGAAGCGCTCCCACAAAAAGACTTGCAGGAAGCTAGAATTCAGGAAAATTTCCACAGCCATGGTTCTTGCCGCCCATTTCTCAAGATTTTGGACCTGGTCAAGCAAGCGGTATAGGTGCCCTAAGAACATAGGGGCTAGAGGAAGCACGCTGCCACGTGCTATCGCCACTGCCAAAGGGAATACCCGCTCGTGCAAACAGTCTTGAGAAAAATCACAGAAAATGAATCTTCCAAGCCATAATGATATAAACGCTGCAAGGCGACACGGCTCATCCCTATTGACATCCCCGAAAAATTGTATCCAGTTGCGAAACCGCAGGGAAGTGCTAGGAGAAGTCGGAGCACCCTTCCGTAAAGTCTTAAGCTTTAGTTTATCTTCCGGAGTCAGCGCAATGTGGAAGGGGTCTTGGCTGCCGCAAAGTGGGAGGTGAAAAATATTGGCTACATCCTCAAGTGTGGGAGCAAACTCTCCCCATGTGCAGATAAAAGTGTGTGACTCGGTACTCCATCGCCCGACCACGTGCCGGAGCATCTTGGCTTCAATATGAATGTCGCAAGCTTTAGAAATAAAGATGGCATCTAGCACCCTTGCCCGACTCAGAATGTCACAAGTGGAAGGATCCATCAATTCACGGTCAACCCACTTTGACCAACCCTTGCTGGTGCCACACGGATATTGGAAGAATAAAGGGACTGCTGGAAATAGGCCCCTCTCTATGCAGCATCTCGATGTGGATGCGGGATCAACCACTGGAGTTGTTTCCGGCGCTGGCTCCCCGTCAATGATTATATCTTCATCAGTGCTCTTAAGCAAAGGAGGCGGCCTCCCTCTTTTCAATCTGTCATATGTGGAATATAGATGATCCCTAAGGATGGATGATGGATTAATGGAGCTCATAATAACTCTTGGTGAAACGATAAGTACCTGCACATAGAAATATGGAAAGAAGCAAAATAGAATTAGCACACGTAAGATACGCGTCAAGCATGGTTAGTTGAACTCATCCAAGCAAACATGCAATTTAAAATTCAAGCTCATAACAAGTAAAAGTTCCACTCCGTGATCAACAAGCATGACAAGCAAGTCTCTTCTCAAAATAAAATAATAAAATTTCAACCAGGCAGTACAAAACATGCACTCTGTCAGTTTTTATTTCCCACAAGCAACACACACAGAAATCCACGATTGATCAAGCATGTGTTCTCAAGGAAAGAAAGCCTAGGCCAAGCATTAGTCTACACCTATTCTAAATACTCAAAGTTCGCAGAATCATTTACCAAAAGGCTAAGACAGAAAGACCAAAAATTCGAGTTAGAAGACTAAAGGATTTGAAGGTTCCAGCAGCAGAAACGTCAAGGGTTTCCAGCACCTACCCCCACCTATGCCTAGAGCGTATATACCTGCACAGAGATAAATAAAAGAGAAAGCACATCATGCCAAACTTAGCCTTTTCACACAGAAAAGGGGAAGCCTGTGGAAAATAAAAGTAAAAAAAAAAAAGGGGAAAAGGGGGAGAAACCCAAGCCAACAAAAAATTATGGTACCTTTCCAGTAGCTCGAGCAAAATTAACAAAGGAAGAAACTCAAACAATGGCACGGGCCCTTCCTTGCTAGTACCCACTCCGTAAGCACTCTTGTTGCAGTGGTAACAAGATGGGTAAAAAAGGGGGTTTGGTATTTGGCTGCCAAAATGAGAAGCAACATTCATGGGTATGAAGAACCCAACGAATTCTCCAATGCATCTAAGGGAAAACTGAGAAAAGGGGCATACCTTGTTAAATCTTCCAAGGGATGGCCTTGAATGCACCAAAAAGAGGGAAAAAATTGGGGATTTGAAGGCAAAATCCGCACAAAAGAAACCCCTTCCAGCAGTAGCGAATGGGTTCTCTTTGAACAAAAGAGAGACGATGTGGTTGAGTCGAATTGAGGGGTTTCTTCCCAGCGGCTGGAGATGGGTGATTTCTATCGGACTGCACTCTCTCACTTGGTTTGACTTCGTGGAAGAGCAAAAGATAACAAAGGGAAGAGAGTTGGAGAGAGGTTTTGGGTTTGGAGAATAAAAAGGAAGGAAATGGGAAGAAGTTTGTGTCTGGTGCGAGAAAAGAGAAAAAAAGGGAAGAAAAGGAAGAAAAATAATAAGAAAAAGAATAAGGCAGTTGGCGTTGGGAAATTGCAAAATAATTGCTGGGACCAATCATGACGCGCCGTCATTTTGCACGCGGGAAGAGGAAGAGTTCTCTACAAATACAAATCTGATTTTTTGGGTTGGGTTTAATTATTCGGCCCATTCCAGCACCTGCCCATGACCCTTATAATTAAGGGGGCTAATGTTGAGACCCAAAAAATTCATGGTTGGGCCCGAATAAATTATCAGCCCAAAACGACAGTCCATTAAAAAAAAGCGTAAAGCAGAGTACACAAAAACCCACAACATGCGAATTATAGTTCACGTGCCACGCTAAATAAATAAATTCGCTAGGGGTTGAGATAAAATATACCGGGTCTACAAGCCCATGCCCAAATTAAACATCGCAAGACGATAAATTAAAACATAACAAGCGACATGCCATGCCAAGCACAAAATCGTTATCTCACACCCAACCACGCTACAAGCTTAAGTGGGCCCCAGCCACTCAAACACCCGGGGCTTGCTTGAGTGGGTTGTGGTATGGATGATAATGAATCAACATGAGGCCCATTGATGGGCCGAGAAATGGAAAGTCTCGGGTTGCTTGGGAGCCTCGAGACTCAAGCCCATTTCTTAGGCCCAAACATGTGGGTGAGCACAAGAGAGAAAAATAGCCCAATAGCCAAAGAAAAATAGCCTATGGACACAACCAAAAAGCCCAATGTTTAACAAAAAAAAGCCCATTTTCTTAGGGAACCACCTTGGCCCATATAAAACTCCAAAAAATAACCCACAAAAGCCTCAACCCTTTTGAAAAAATAGAAGCCACATGAGGAAGGTTGGCAGATTCATTGAGCAAAGCTGCTGGAAGGTTCCATCACATGCAGGGAGCAAGTTCCAAGCTAGAGACGCTCAAAGAACCAAGGAATACTAGCCTGCAGGTTGTCAGAAGCACCCTTTGGACCAGCATATATTTTCACTTCCTTTCCTTCATCAGATTTGGCCAAAGAAGGGGAAAGGAAAGAGGAAAAAACAGTAGCCAAGAATGGAAGTTCCCACTGAATAGCTGCGGGAAAGGGGGCATTGAGCTCCCAAATTTCCTGAATTCGTGCAAATAGACAGAGGCAATTTTTACCAAGATAGGGAAGTCAAAGAAGAAGAGGAGAAAGGAGGAAAAAGCTTAGCCAAAATGGGTAGAAGCCATTAAGGTTTCTTGAAAAACAGTGGTTTCCAGCGGGTATAAATTGAGGGTTCTCTTACCTAACGAGAGCAACTCAGATTTAGAGAGCAAGCATTCTCTCTAACTTGCAAATACCCAGCAACCTTGTGCACTGTTCATCTTCTTCTCCATTTTGTTCTTCTGGAAGCTACTAGAAGAACTCGGCTCTTCATTTTCTCTTTCCTTAGCCAAATCCCTCACAAAACATCTCATTTCTTACCTTAACACTTCCTTTTCTCATAAAGCAAGCCTAAATTCTGTCTAGGTGCTAAACTCATGTTGATTTTACTCCCATGCCACATGCCACTCACGCTGAGCTAAAAAGATTATCTGTAAGCATGTCAAAACCACCTGTAAGCAGCCGTTATTCTGGTTGATGAAGGTAACCAAAATATTTCCTAAGGCTTTGCTGCCCTTTCGAAGTATTTTTGGGGCTTAATTTTCGAACCCAAACAAAGGGCAGTCGGCCCCTTACAGCAGCCCAGCCCATTATAGCTGCAGGAAGAAAAAGTCCCATACAAAGGTCAATTTGTTTGGAAAAAAGAAAATTAAGCTAACAAAAGACACAAAAATATATTAATATATAAAAATCTAAATTTACTTCTCCCCTATTATAGCAAAAACTACATTTACATCCCAAAGATGCAAATGACATGTAATTGTGGCTTTACATCTTCAATTTGCATGTTTAACATTGGAGATGCCTTTAGGACACTTATTGCATAATTATCTTCACGGCTCACAACATCATCTATACTTAATTTACAATAACTATAACTTTGTTTTAATTGATACATTTTATCCATGAGCATTGTTGGGTTAGCGCTGTCTTTTATGTAGCCTCACAGCCAATCTACCCTTCATCTTAAGCACAAGTGATAAGATGTAAGGAGGGTTCATCATCTTCTTTGCAGTTGCGCCACCATTAACAACCACAACCTCAAACTCATACATCACAGCTGCTACAACTGACTTCATCTGCACATAAGCCATCTCCTTCCCCAAACACATACTAGGCCCACAATGGAACATTGGAAACCGAAATTGATATGACGGTTGAAACACCCCATCACCATCCAACCACCTCTCAGGCTTAAACTCCATTGCATATGCAGAGTAATTAGCAAACCACCCTTTCCTCACGAGGAATCCATCTGGCAAAACTTCATCATCCACCGTTAATCTTAAATTGATAGGCACAGATGGAAACAACTGCATGGACTCTGATAAAGCTGCATGCAGGTAATGAAGCTTCTTCAGCTCATCATAGCTCAAAGTTCACCTAGGCAATTCGTCGAGTATCTTGTGGGCACATCAAGGATGGCCAGAAATCAACCAAAAGAACCAAGTTAAAGCTAAGGATGTGTTGTCTCTACCAGCAAGAATAAAGTTGATCACTATGTCTCGCAGAAACCTCCGCTTGTGCTCTACATTGTGGAACTCTATGTTTGCACTTGAAGACACGAACCTGGAAAGTAAGTCTCCATCTTTGACCACATCTGATTTGGCTTTTTTCAACTCTATGATCTCTATTGCATACTTGTTGATTTCTTCTGTTACTTGTTTGAATAGTTTTTCATAACCAATGTTGAAGAACCTCTTCATCTTCCACACAAGGCTCAGTGGTGACATAAGTCTCGATGAACAAATATCAACTGTGTCATCAAAACATTTGGCAAAGCTCAATCCTGACATGCTTCGAGTATGGTTCATGTTTTCTAAATACAAGCAAGCAGGGTCTGTGCCAAGTGCTACATTGCATATGTTATCAAATCCAAATTTTTGCAACATATTTTGAAGATCGATCACTCTATTTTTATCACAGATTTTGGAGAGGTATATAATGAGATGGTTCGAGATCTTAGAGTTGACGATGTTTGAGATGAAGTGTTTGAGTGATTTGGTATTGAATTCATGGCTAGCAATCTTGCATTGGATGGTCCAAAGGTTCCCATCAACGCTGAAGATTCCATGGATGAGGAGGTCATGAAGAACATCATATAAGCAAGAGCCCTTCATGTAGTTTGGGAAATTGGATAAAAGGAGGTGCACGACCTTTAAAGGGTTGTCGATGTAGATGTCATGGGAGAGATTGAGCAAGGTTTTGACTTGAAGAGGTGAAGAAGGGGTTTGGGAGAGCATATCAGCAACCCAGATATGGAATCGGTGGCAGTTGCGAAGGAAGCCAGGTAGGTTTCCGATTATGGGGTATGACTATGGACATGGTATTTTTCAGTGTGTGTGAGAGACAGAGGAGAAGAGGAAGATGAAGACTGAGATGGAAAGGAGTAAGGTGACCAAGATAAGAGAGATGGTGTTAAGGTCCAGCATTTAGCTTGTGATAATTTGAGGGTCTAATAGTAAGAGATAGGGAGAAAAGCTTATATAGTAGTCTAGACCATTCCTGTACTAGCTAGTTTTCTACTTGAAACTGCCCTGATGTATTGGTTCTAATTCAATTTCATAAGTAGAAAATTCAAGAAAAAATTATATGAAAAAGTGATTCATTGCTTGGCTACAACTACAATAAGGGCTCAAAAGTCATTCTAGATACGCCAATAATAACTTCTATGAAGAATCATCATTCTAGATAGGCCAATAATAACTTCTATAGAGAATTACTCTCCATATAATCACTTAGTTTTAAGAAATTCTGGGAGAAGCACAACACGTGGAAGGTGCTTCTCCTCATAAGTGATTCCATCCCTCCCTTAATCACTTCCTAATATGCCCTAATCATGGCTCTAAAGACAACTTGTGAGAAATATTCATCCGATTTATACCAAACTCTTGTTATAAGAACAAAGATCCCAAGATAAGAACTGCAATAACTTTACCCAAAAAGAAGATTTACAATTACAAAATAATAAATCATATACAACTTGCAGTTTTTATTCTTTGTTTCTCATCCCATGATATAGATAATTACAAGTTGTCCAAAAGAATTATGGAGAGAAACTTGAAGAATTTTCCAGATTATACAGTAAAAGCTTGAATAACCACCTTTGAAGATGTATGTAGGACAAGAATTCAATTCCATTATCAAGATCTCTTCGTGCTTGCAGCATCATTGTATAAGTGAAACTATGCTTCGATGAATGCATGTCTTCATCCATCGACAATAATCCCACTTTCAAGTGGAATAAGAAAACCAAAAATTGCCCAAGTTCATCAATTGAAATTCAACCACATGGTTGACAAAGCATCAAAAAGACAATATAAGATAATCCGAGAACCAAAGAACCTCTGATAAGCTCATAGAAAAAGTAAAAAATTATAATTATAATAAACTAAATTAGATTCTTCATCCTTCTAAAATGCTGCTTGGTTTAAATATACACAAATGAAATTATGCAGGATATGCAAAAGAATAGTAAAGTATAAAAATTCTTTATTCATAAGTCTCACAAGAAAAATTCAGTACAAAACTTATCTATGTTTTTTTTTTTCTTTCTCTCACCTTTTCTTCTTTAAGTGGAATTTAGCAATGAAATGAGCTTCATAATTGAGTCAACACGAAATTATGAACTAAATAAGTGAGACACGACATAAAATGAAACAAAAACATGAACAATTGCCACCATCCTCACAAGGAGCTTTCCATCTATGACAAATATGGTTTTTGGCATGCTAGAGCTCCTCTTGCAAAAATCACAAGAAAATACAAAATCTTATTGTGCTTACTGAAAATACATCCTATCACTAGTATAACTCATCTGTTTCAAACATCATAACATGAGAAAAATGAATAACAGTATATTCCCTCTAAATTTCATGATGGGCAACAGACTAGTAATGAGATTAATAACAAGTTGCCATAAATGAAAGTGATATGCTTGATGGTTATGTAAGGACACATGTTTTCCTGCATCGAATTTGAGTAACTATGGACCACACTACTCAGTAATTTCTACACTACAATAATTTAATAACTATGAAATGGCAAAATAGTTTATCATCTTTCCTACTGAATTATGAATGACAAGATCCCCATTGTTTCTGTAAGCTTTTTCTAAAAAGTCAGTCAAGCTATCAAATAGAATTGAGACATTAGATATAGCCCATTTAGCCATAACATCAGAAGCAAAAATATGTTTACCATCTCAAAACACAGCCACAAATTCCCATCACTAAAATCCCCACTAACAATTTGCCTTAACAAACAAACAAACATACCATCAACGCCAACTGCTAGAACATTGATCAACTCCTTAGTACCCCAAATCAGTTGGCACTTCACTGGTTCAAGAAGTTTCACATACAATTCATTCACAACCTTGATGAACAAACTAACAAACAAGCCATGCCCATTAGTAACAATGGCATGTAAGTGCTTAATATGTGTTTCGCCAACATGACTTTCACATAAAACCCCATAAAGTATCGCTTTGTTGAGCAACAAGTATTTTTGTGGCTTTGGAATTGTTAATGCAAATGAGGGTCTTAGTTTTGGTTCAAGAAGCTCAAAGGCTTGTCTTATAGAGAGCTATGTTGGGTTGTCCCCTTCACGAGAAACAATTTGAATTAATTTCAAAGCCATGTATGGTTCATAGGGTGCAACTAGAATGAATTTGAGTGAGTGGAGGCATGCATAAATGGTAGAAGAATTGAGTTGAGAAAATAAGAGGGTATTGAAATTGTCATTAGCAAATCAAATTCCAACTACAACTTACAAACAACTCGGAGAAGCCTTTATGCATATTTTCAAGAACCACAATGTGGGCATTGGCTAGTGATCTCTTGGGGGGGCCTCTTGCTCTTAGTAGCTTAGTACCCATTTGCACCAGTAGAAGGTTCACATAAGAGTTATCCCATGAACTCCAACAAACTCCAATTAGTCATGTAATAAACCAAGGTGCCATATCTGGTGTAGATACTAAGAGTTAAATTAAATTTGTACTGCTATTTGTATCATCTTTTATCTTTTTGACCCAAAAAAAAAAAAAATTGCAACATAAAGCAGACTACCACAAGAATACTCTACGACACTTCAGAATTTCAATGTGACAGTATATAAAAAAAATAAAATGATCCATAAAATCTAGAGATACTGAAGCCCATAAAGTAGCCCAAGATCAGACTCTCTCCCACAAATTATCCACCTACTCTTCTCTAACGTCGTTAAACATCCTTCTATTTCTTTCCTATCTAAACTGAACATCTTCTTTGTCCGATTCAAACTTTGTCCCCTCTGTTTGACTGGGTCAATGTTTCTCTAAAAACTCATTGTTGTCCGATGGACTTTGGGCTTTGCACATCCAATTTTGTTACGACTTGAGCATTTGATGTTTGGCCTTTAATAGTTGGGCTTTAATTTAACTAACCATGAAACTGGCCCATTTGATTGAGGAAATTAGGTTGTGTTAATTTTGGTCCAAACAATTTCCTATTAATGTCATATTTTCTTTCGATGGTATTGATGTGACTTGCATGTTCAATTTCATATTTACTTTTGTTTTCATCAATAATTGTTCAAACTTAAAGCTTCTAATATTAATTGAATATGAATCATTTTAGCTCCTAAAATTCATTAGACTAAATCATAAAGTAGTCCAAGATTGGACTCTCTCTCCCACAAATTATCCACCTACTCCTCTCTAATATCGTTAAAGACCATCTAAACTGAGCATCTTATTTGCCATCTCTTTAATAGATGTGCACAACATGATCAGTTGAGATGGTACAATTATTATTATTTTTTCCAAATTAAATCATGTGATTATAGATGCAATTTCTGATTAAGAAAAAGAGAGGCACTTGACAAATATAGCTAAATTGTAGTCTTTAAGATTTAATCAGTTCTAAATTTACAATAATATTATAACAGTCTAGTGCCCTTGTACAGCCTCATTAATGTTTTTCGTTATCGAATATTCAAAATCCTATATTAATAGAAACAAAATGAAAATATACGATATAGGAGAAAATGTTTCCTTAACATCTAGTATGAACGACATAAACATGAGTAAATAATTATATTTGTTTTCAAAAGTTCATGTAATAGGCACCACCACAATACCACTAGGTACTAGCTGAGTTGTAACTCACAAACCTAGCCTTTCAAATACTTGAATTGTACTGTCTTGAGGTCAAGTTAGGATCAACTTGCTATTTCCTTTAAAATCAATGCATATTGCTATTTCTATATAATCTAAAATAACAATTCACAATTACTCAACTTTAAAATCCACACAAATAAAAATTTGACATATAATCCAACAAATACTTCATGTAAACAATATATCTGTTGAATTAACGTTGTGCACCAACCCAATTTATAAGTTAAGTTCCAATTGACTCAGGCTTGATTAACTCATTTTGTAAGACAATCCTCTGACTTATCAAACACAAAGTCTGCAACAGAACAATCATATATGAGCATTGACATGACCCAAGACCGTACAATGCAAGATTTATGTGTTGATATGTTCCTAGCCCAAAACCATGTTATGTAATCTTTACGATAGGTTGAGAAAGGTTCAAGTGATAAAGATTTGATTGGAAGTGATGAAGAGGAACAAAGGTTTTAAAGCTATAAAGCATAAGGTTGTCTAAACTCATGATTAGGAAAGGTAACTTTGACTAGAGACCATGCATGCATTCATAGGTTGTTAAACATTTTATTTGCTCATCAGTTAACTTGACGTGATGAGCAAAGTTCCTTTAAGTGCTTAGAATTGCATGAAATTTTAGTAGCATGTTCGTCAAGATGTTAGGTTTCTTGTATAAAAGTTTCAAGGTAAAATTCGCATTTTTGGAAAGGTCGAGCTCAAGCGGCAGACGCATAATTTCAATTTCCTTTTTTTGTTTTGGAGAGTTTTAAATTATTTTTTCTTCCTAATCCTGTGGTTGGTATAAGTTTCCTAGAAGCTCTACACATGTTTTTTATTTATTTATAGGAATTTTGTTCCTAATCCTATTGGATCTTTTTACATCTTCCTAGTTTGATTTTAAAACAAGTTTTGTGTTTATAAATACTTAGTTTTTGTAGAAGTAATAAGATACAACTCACATACAAGTATCTTTGTGCTTCAAACATCGTTTCTTGAGAGAGTTGATTTTCTATAATATGAACTCCTCGGGTTTAAATCTTTTTCTTGAGTGAGTTCATCACGCATACATATATAATTCAAGTAAATTGTTCCTAGTTGAATCTACTTGAATTATAATTTTCATTCAGACATACATCTTTGAGTTAGTAACTTGTGCCTTGCATGTTGTGTCAAGAAGACAAGTCTTGGTGGGTTCTTGCCTCAAGGTGATTGACAAACGAGGGGAGTTTGTGCCACGCTTGAGAAGACGAGTGGGAATCAATTCACAAGATTGCAGAAGTAGCAAGAGGCTGGCAGTTCGGCAGCCTTATAGAAGAGTCAAGTAAGTTGAGTTGAGTGGAGTCTTTTATGTACTTCTTGTTAATCTTAGTGGATTACTTTCTGTCTGGCAAAGTTTGTTGGAAATAAGAGCTTTTCTGATGGCAAGTATTTAGAAGAAAAACAGATAAATTGATAATAGCAATGACGGCTGTTTAAATAGCCTTACAAAGAGTAACCTAAGAATGAAAGGAGAACTCACGTTTAACAAACCTATTACGTGGTAACAGACTAAGTCAAAACAAACAGATACTCCCTAAACAATAGGGATTTATTAACCAAGCAGTAACACACTAACAATAATTCTAATTGCAACCTAACAATTCCTCCCTTAAACTGAATGCAGCTTGCAATCAGTTTACACAAGGTTCTGGACAAACACCTAACATACTTCACAGCCTCACAAACGCATCCAACTTGAGAGGTTTTGTCATCACATATGCAATTTGTTCGTAACTATTGCAATGCACCATTTCCACAGTTCCTGCCTTTATAAGATCACGAAGAAAATGGAAACGAACGTCAATATGCTTGTTGTGTCCATGCATCATTGGATTCTTTGCAAGTTTGATTGCTGAGCTGCTATCACAGTGAACAATTGTAGGCCTATCTTGCTTCTCACCAAGCGTCTCAAACATCCTTCTCAACCATACTACCTGACATGCACAAGAAGCAACAGCAATGAACTCTGCCTCAGTGGTAGATAGAGTTACTATCAGCTGTTTCTTTGATGACCAGGACACAGCTCCTGAACTGAATAAGAAAATGTAACCTGAGGTGCTCTTCCTGTCTTCTTGGTCTCCAACATAGTCACTATCTGTGTAAACATTCAACTCTCCTTTTCCTATCTTCTTGTAGAACACCCCAAAATCAGTTGTTCCTCTTAGATATCTTAAAATTCTCTTTGCTGCCTCCATGTGAAGCTCAGTAGGATTACTCATATACCTGCTAATAAGACTTACCACAAACATCATGTCTGGTCTAGTAGCAGTTGAATACAAGGGGCTTTCCACAATTTGTTTGTAGATGGTGCTGTCTACTTTTACTCCATCTTCATCTCTCAAAAGTTTGCAACCTGGGACAATGGGATTAAGAACCGGATTGCTTTTATTCATTCCAAACTTTTCAAGCACCTCCAAAGCATTTTTCTTTTGGCTAATGAAAATTCCATTAGTTCTTTGCATAACTTATATACTCATAAAATACCTCATCTTCCCAAGATCAGTCATATCAAACTCAAGCATCATTGATCTCTTAAACTCAACAAACATAGATTCATCATTGCCAGTAAATATGAGATCATCAACATAAAGACTCACAATCAGAATTTTACCTTCCTTTGCTATCTTTGTGAACAAAGTGTGTTCGTAATGACATCTTTCAAATCCTTCCTTCATGAAATCAGCCTCTATACGACTATACCAAGCTCGTGGAGCTTGCTTAAGTCTGTATAAAGCCTTTTTGAGCCTATAGACTTTCTGTTCATTGCCCTTGCGCACATAACCTTGATGCTGCTCAACAAACAGTTCCTCATTTAATTCCCCATGCAGGAAGGTAGACTTCACGTCTAGCTGGTAGATTGTCCATTGTCTTTGAGCTGCAAGTGCTATTACAAGACGGATCGTATCCAACCGTGCCACAGGTGCAAACACCTCTGTATAGTCTATCCCATGTTGTTGAGAATATCCTTTTGTTACGAGCCTTGCCTTATACTTGTCTACTTCTCCATTCTCATTAAGCTTCGTTTTATATACCCACTTCACTCCAATCTTCTTTCCTCCAGCAGGTAACTCCTTCAATTCCCATGTATCATTCTTTTCTATTGCTTTGATTTCTGAATCTATAGCTTTTCTCCATTTTTCACTTTTCACTGCATCTTCAAAATGACCTGGATCAGCAGCTGCAAGTATGACAAAATGAGCCACATCATCTTCTTCAAAAAGACCCTCTCATGTTTCATAATCTTCCATCCAGACTGGTGGTCTTCTATTTCTCCCTTCATTGAAATTGGGAGGATTTTCTTCAATTGGTTCATCTGAAGAAGAATTTCCCATTTCTTCTCCTGTGGCATTATTAAAGTCAACAGCACCTTCATTATTAAAATCCACAGCACCTTCTTCTTCATTTTCAGCGACTCTGGTTGCTCATTTTTCATTGTTACCCCACTCCAAATCAGCTAATATGACTTCTTCATGTCTTTTGTCCCAATCCCAACTTTTGTCCTCTTCAAATACAACATCTCTGCTTACAAGTATTTTCTGAGAGACTGGATCATACAATCTATATGCTTTAGACTCCTCACTGACACCAAGCAAGCCACACCTTAAGCTTTTATCATCCAACTTTGTTCTTTTGCTATCAGGTACATGTACATGGAAGACACACCCAAAGACCTTGAAATAATCCACTGTCTGTTTAACTCCACTCTAGGCTTCTTCAGGAGTTTGATTTTTGATAGCAAAAGTTGGGCTTCTATTCAACACATGTACAATCCAGTTAACTGCTTATGGCCAGAAAATTTTGGGAATTTTCTTATCCGAGAGCATGCTTCGAACCATGTTCATTATGGTTCTATTTTTCCTCTCTGCAACTCCATTCTGTTGTGGAGTATATGATGCCGTCAATTGTTTGCATATCCCACTGTCATTGCAAAAATTGTTGAACTCTTGTGATGTAAATTCACCACCTTTATCTGTTCGCAGCCCCCTTATACTTGAACATGTTTCCTTTTCAACACGATTTTTATAGCTTTAGAAAGTACTAAAAGCTTCTGATTTTTCTACCAGAAAATAAATCCATGTCTTGCGACTAAATCATTAATAAAACTGATCATGTACCTTTTCTTGCTATTTGAGATTGGCGTGATTGGCCCACATATATCAGCATGAACGAGTTGAAGTATTTGAGAGGCCCTCTAAGTGCTCATTCTTGGGAATGAATCCCTATGTTGTTTGCCCACCAAACAATCTTTACATACTTTGGAAGGAGTCTTGAGTTGGGGTAATCCTTTCACCATCTGCTTCTGCTAGAGGGTTTTCAAGCCTTCGAAATTCAAGTGTCCATACCTACAATGCCAAAGATGTGTTTGGCCCTCTGTGACTGTTTCAGCACGTAGGCTATCTTGGCTGAGATTCAGCAAGTAGAACAAACATCTTGTTAGATGACATTTCGGACTCTGTAAGCAAGCCTCTTTCAGGATGAAAGATCTTGCACTTTCCACGTCAAAATACAATTGTAAGTCCCTTCTGTAGAAGTTGTCTAATTCAGCAAATTATTCTTTAGCTCTGGCCACTCCAGTGATGATTTGATCAATCCCATTCACTCGCAGCCTTATATTGCCTTTCCCATATACTGCCATGCTTGAGTTATTTCCAAGCTTTACTGAGTCTCTGAAGCTTGCATCCAAATCTGAGAAACATTCCTTCTTCTTGCACATATGATTACTGCAACCGGAGTCAAGATACCATAAATCTTCCATGTTCTTCTTTTTATCATCTGCATAAGCCATCAGCAATATCTCTTATTCAGCCTCTACAAAATTTGCTTCTTTCTCCTTGCTTGGGCATTCATATTGAAAATGCCCTAGTTTATGGCAGTGGTAACATTCCACTGTGGATTTGTCAAAGCTCCTGCCTCTCCCTCAATCTCTTCCTCTAAAACTTCCACGTCTATGACCTCTTCCTCCAGAGGACTCATCATATGTTACCTTCAATGCTTGTTCTTTTGTGACGTGATCATTCATATGTTGCTCATGCATGAGTAGACTACTCTGTAACTTGTCGATGGACATAGAGTCTAAATCATGTGACTCTTCAATGGAGCAAACAACATAATCAAACTTAGAAGTCATTGACCTCAGAACCTTTTCAATGACTAACACATCTCCCAATTTTTCACCATGTAGCCTCATTTTGTTAGCTATGGTGAGAGTCCTGGCAAAGTATTCATTCACAGATTCTCCTGCCTTCATGTGAAGAATCTCAAACTCTTTACGAAGAGCTTGTAGCTGTGCTCGATTCACCCGTGTGGTGCCTTGATACTTCTGTTTCAAAGAATCCCAGATATTCTTTGATGTGTCTTTGTTCAGAATTGTCTCTAAGATTGAACGGTCAACTGCTTGAAACAGATAGTTCTTGGCTTTCAGATCCTTCAGCTTCTGATCTTCAACGGCTTTCCTCTGTCCTTCTGTGAGATCTGCTTCTCCTGTTGTTGCAGGGATCCCATTCTCCACTAGACCCCAATACTCCTTTGATCACAAGAAGTTTTCCATGAGCATAGACCAGTGATCGTAGTGCCCATCAAACTTAAGAATCGCTGGCTGCACATAACTGTTCTCTGATGTCATATTCACACCTAGAAGACTGCTGCTGCTTCTAATTTCAAATTAGGCTCCCTGGAAGGAAGCTCTGATACCAATTGTTGGAAACAAGAGCTTTTCTGATGGCAAGTATTTAGAAGAAAAACAGATAAATTGATAATAGCAGTGACGGCTGTTTAAATAGCCTTACAAAGAGTAACTTAGGAATGAAAGAACAGCCCATGTTTAACAAACCTATTACGTGGTAATAGACTAAGTCAAAACAAACAAATACTCCCTAAACAATAGGGATTTATTAACCAAGCAATCACACTAACAATAATTCTAACTGCAACCTAACAAAGTTCCCGTGGTTTCTTTAATCCTGTCTTGGGGTTTTTCCACTTTAAAATTTTCTTTGTACGTTAAAATTTGCTTCATACTATGAATAGGAAGAGTATGTATGGACATTCGACAACATGGATTAGATACATGCTCGGTTGTTTAAAACGTTCTCCTATGCTTAATGGATTTCTAATGCTTAATTTAGGTTCTACAACAAAGATCTAATTAGGGAATTAAGAATATAAAGTTTAGACCAGACACAATGGTAAATTATACATTAGAGAAAATCAATCTTTTTACTTGAACTGAACTTGTTAACTTGATTGTTTGAGACTAAGAATTGGATTGTTCCCTAGTGTACTCTTCGCAATCTTTAAACTTTGTTTCCATTTATGTTTTGTGCAGGGAATCAAATTGAATCAATCTATCATCAATCCTCATGGGATCTACCTCGCACTTACACATGCTATACTACCCAATGGCTCGTGCACTTGCGAGTATCACAAGTTGAGGATGCAATTCAATCGATTTTGGTGCAGTTGAATCCGACACAACACTCTTTTGTCTACTTACACTCCTTTGTATGTTATAGTAAAAAGTATTTAAAAAAAACAAAAACGAGTGTAAATGGACAAAAGAGAAGTGAGAAAATCAACACCCATAATAAATGGTACAACAAGAAGACTTAGCAGTATAACAAACATTCCACAAAAAACCGTAAACATGGTCCTCTTTCTCCTTGCCAACAACCAACCCTTCTTAAACATGGCCCCTCATCTCCTTCACCCTTATTCTTCTTTCCTATCCTCATCTCCCCTTCTTCTTCTCCCATCTTTTTCCCTCATTCTCATCCTCTCTCCCTTTATTTCCACTTTCCTGAGGGCTCTTGCTGACACCTATCTCCCTTTCTTGTTCTCCTCCCTTCCCCATCCTAAATCTACTTAGCTCTTGGGTTTTGAGCCTAGATCTGTTTGGATCTAGGTCTGTTTGTGTCTTTATTTTGTTTGGTTGTTTTTGCAGTGTTTTAGGTGGCTGGTGTTGTCTTTGTCTCGGTGGTGGCAACAGTACTAACGCTAGATTGGGTCTCTCTTTGAGAGAGTTGTAATACTTGGTGGCTGATGTTTTGTCTTCGTTTCAATGACAGCTGCATCAACGACGATGATGGTGGTTGTTGGGATGTAGTGGTGCACTCTCTTAATGGTTCCATCGTTCGGTCTCCTATTTTGTTTGTCATTTTGTTTCTCTGTTGTGTAGACCCTTTGCAAATTTTCCCATCTCTACGTTGTCAGAAGAACTATGTTTGGCCAAAGGAGATTTTCTTTGTCACGCTCTGAGTTAAGTTGGTGTGCTTCTCTAGGATTCCTCTTTCCTATCGTCTCCGTGTTCTTCCTTCGTGTGCTCTCTTGTTTCTCTGACCCTTGATGTGCTATGCTCAAAGGACTATGAGTTCTCATAGAAGGCTTATTTTGACAATTGGGATGCATTGTGGTTCTCTCATATGGGTCTACTCAGTGTTGGTGTTTAATAGGTGTTTTACTTTTTCTGGTTTTTGTAGCGGTCTACATTGGCCTGGGTCAGACTCTCATGTTTGTCCCATGTGGTTTCCTAGGAAGGTTCTAACGAGGCCACTGTTATCGTGCCAGTCTTTGTATGCCTTTTATGGTTTATGGATGAAATCTTCTTCTATAAAAAAAAACAAGACTTAGCAGTGGACTAAAATATGAAGAATAACACAAATATGCCTTGAGCAGCACTTGGGTCTATTTGATCATTTGTGTCTTTCTAACATTCTGAGCATAAGCAGTTATAGAGCTTGTTATCCATCTTGCACTAGCAATCATCAATTTCATTCCCAACTGGACTTGATCTCCACATTGTGTAAGATTCATCTAAAATAAAAGTTACCAAATTACGTTTGGACTTAAATTTCCTGATTTATTTATGATACTGACTTCATCCTTAAGTTAGCTTAATCACCAAGAATCTAGTCAAATGGGCCCTTTTTACATTATTTACCTATTGACAAAGCCCAATTTGAATTTTCCTCTCTTTATTTATTTTAGAAATATTGGCCCATAAAATAGCAGGACAATTATAGCCCAAACAATGTCGGAGCTAAACCCATCAAACAAAAGAGAACACAAATTTCACAAATTGTCTTACTCGATTTTTTTCACAAGCGTCAAATCTTCTCCTAGGATTTAAATACCTCCCTTAAGTACAAATTCCAATCTAGCCCCCAGTCATAGAGTTTCCATATGCTAGGCTTTGATTTTACAAGGTTGAAGATGCCCCCCCAAATCCGAATCATTATATTGTAATTGGTTCAAGAGCGATTTTGAAGTGAAACCAATTCAATCCGGACCGTGTCCACCCCTACTGCCATGGCCCCACATTTCTTCTCAGTGCACCTCATCTTTCTCCTCAATACCACCGCACCCATAGCAGTGTCCCGCCATCCATGGAACGTTGCCAATTTTTTCTTAGTTTTTAAATTTTTGTGAGGTGAAATTGCTGATGCATCCCTAAAATTTACGAATTAAAAGTGCGACATGCGACCAAATTTGAGGACTAAAGAAACTAAAAACTGAACTGAAGAGTCAAAAATGAAACTCGGGTACTACAATTAAGACTCTAATTCAGTCAAGTAAAAGATGGCCGAAAGCAGTTTCTGAAATTTCGAAGTATATTTATATCATAGACCTGGGGCTTCATTTCAGACACCATGGTTTATTAGTTGCGCCTTCCTATTATGTATGTAAATTCCTGCATGCTCCTACTGATGCATATTTTGCAGCAACAAAACAAAACGAATCTCGAGATACTGAGAATTTTACAAAAAAAGTATATAGAAGCAGCAATAACGGCTTCATAATGAAGTACCTGAAACTCCCACTGAGAAACAAGATTATGAAAACTAAATTACCAAGTTATGCCAACCCCTATTCAGCCGGGAGACCGAGCGTAGCTTCTAACAAAATTCACCCAGTCCCTACTAATCATACTTTCTGGAGTTCTTTTCTAGGCCAGCAATCATACTGTTTGGTCAGTCCTAATGTACAGTAACATATTTACAAAAAACCAAACAGAACCATTCAGTTTTAAACCCTAGATTTTTGCCTGTGACCGTTTGATCGCTTCCTAGATGAGTCAGTACCATGTACACTTTCTTTTCGCCTTTTAACACGGACCATTCATTTTCTAAAACCTAGGTTTGCGCCTGTGCACTTCGGATCGCTTCCTAGATGTTTCAGTACCATTTGCGCTTTCCCTTCGCCTTTTAACACCATTACTTAGAGAATCAGCTTCCAAGGCTTCAGTGGTCTTCTTATACCGGATAACATTGGTTACAATGGCATATACAATGACATCAGTTTTTGGGGTCAACACGGCATTTCTCTCAACAACTGCATTCTGCCCACAGCATGATTCTTGAATTGCTGTGTGTCTGAGCTTTTGCAATATGGCATCCTTATCAAGCTCGAAGCAGTCTCTTGAAACCTGGAAAATAATAAGTTACAATTACGCCAGGCTTCCCTCAGAACATAGAACTTAGAAGGGGCAATATCCTAGATTTTTCAAGTTCTTGTCAGAGATAATTAATTTTCTTTAATTATCTTCTTTTCATGAGAATTGTGGCATGAGTATCAGTATTGCAGTTATCAGCTGAAACCAAATAAGCACCCTGCAAACCAGCAACCATAATTCTATGCCATTTACCTAACTATGCAAAGTGAAACAGCATGTAAGAGACAAGGAGATGATTCTTCTAACTTCTAACCACTCACCTTAAAATTAAGAGGGACAATAATTTCTGTGGATGGACAACCACAACTATCTATGAAGTTGAATTTCATAACCATTTCAAATGACTTTGCTTGTAATGTTCTCCTGATACATATTGAACAAAAAAAAAGGTGAGAAGATGCCAATGTTAGATGACACGTCCACTAGTAGATCATGCACAGACATGACAATGGAGTATACTTGCTAAGGGCCCAGTTGGTAACATTTTAGTTTTTAGTTTTTGTCTTTTGGTTTTAATTAAAGATAGAGAAGGAAAAACGATAAAATGTTACGGAAAGATGAGACAATATATTCATAATTTTTTTTAAAAGAAAAAAAAAGGGCCCGTTAGTTAACCTTTCTGTTTTTGGTCTTTACTTTTATTTTTTTCTATTTATTTACTAGAGATAGAGAGGAAATACATGGAGGAGAAGATGGAAGAATGGAGGGAGGGTGGTGGGAGGGATGAGGGAGAAGTGAAGGAGAATGAATGAAACAAAGCCTTCAAAATGAAAACAACTTAAAATTGTTTTTAGTTTTCATTTTATGTAGCGTTACATAAACATTACTTCTCCCTTCCTCTACTCTTCTGCATCCCTCCCTTTCTTCCATATATTTCCTTTCTATCTCTAACCAAAAAAAAAAAAAAAAAAAAATTGGAAACTAAGAACCAACAAGAAAAAGGTTACCAAATGGGCCCCAAGCAAATATACAAAGTTTAGTTTTAATCTTTGGTTGTATGTTTCCCTCATTTTTTTCATCACCTCTCTCCTTTCTTGAATCAGTTTCTCTAATAAATAAATAAACCAAAAAGTTACCAAACGGGTTCAAAACTATTAGATTCTCCAGGTCAGGTTACATAATTGAGAGTTAGAAATCAACCTATATTTTTAATACAAAACAAAGCAAATTTCAGGAGACAAACAAATTTTTATCGATCATACTGTTTTCTAGTTTTGAATCAAATCTGTATTTGACATAGTTTACAACAGCTTCAAGTATTTCTGAACCTATCTTTTTTGGGAATTCAAAATTGTATAGTTACCTTTTCAGTTGAAATGGTTCCTTCTGTAAAACAGCTGACTTATACCCTTGATTTTCTAAAAAGGATATCTGGCATGCAAACATAACAGGAGTGTTAGCACCAAATCGGAGAAAACGATATATAACAACAATATAATTCTGTAGGTGATGTCTTGTGAAAGTATAGCGAGTGCATCAATCTCGTGGTAACATGAGGATAGGAATTGTTATTAGAGGTTTATTTGGTGCAAGGGTCAACTGCTTAGTCTACTTGGTTTGTGTGTTGGAACGCAGTGGTAAATTATCACTAAGAAGAAAAAAAAAAGACAAACCACCTAAAGATCTGGCTAGCCAGTAAATGACAAGAAGGCAACCATGCATCTAGGAATTTGAATGAGTGAAAAAAAATGTATAACAGCAATTAATGAATAAGTGGATCATTTCTGAGGTAAAGTAGTAAACAAGTTACTTTCTTAGTGCCAGATAAAAGTTAAGATATATCTACTACCAAGATGTACAGTTGTCTTGCTTATAACGGGGTTTCAAAACTTCCATATGTTCGCTAAGTGGATCATATACGGAATAAAAGAGAGTCAGGGGTTCATCTTTAATGGACATAAAGAGATTTCTTTGGGGCAATGGTCAGCCGTTTCAATCTTTACAGTTATTTGGTTCCAACAGAGGGACCTGTAAAATACCCCCCCAAAAAAATCTTATGATGTGGTCTGTCGGTAAAATGACAAGAATGCAGTCCTGCATCTAGCAATTTGAATAAGCTATAAGAAAAAAGAAAAAAAGAATAGCAGGAGGCCATTTCAGCCTCATATACCCGGAAGCAGAAAGATCAACAGAATAAGGCTCTTAAACGAATTTCACCTCAATAGATTTAATGAATGGCAATGGAGCTTTCTGTCCATGTACACTTGCTACCCGGAGGTTCCAGTTCACATTTTTTTTATCTGCAATGCAAGTGAATGGGCAATGTGAGAAAGCTGAATGAAAAAGTGTACACTAATTAGTGGGAAATTCAGTGAACAATGGGAACCAAAACAAGGAGTCGTAAGATAGAGTAATTAATTCATTCCATCTATAGAACTATTTAACTCATATTAGTTTGTATTACATATGTATTTGAACGTATTTATCCGTGTTATGACTTATGACAATGTTGCCAAGTGAGCCACATGATAGGTTCCAGGTCAGTGTCTTCAGATGAAGTATGTCTACACGAGCAAAGAGAATAATAGGAAAAAAAGGCATTTTTTATTGTTAAACAAATTCAAACGAAGGCTCTGATACCTTGTTAGACAACCACAAGACACCAAAGCTTAAGTTGTGAGGAACAGACCAACAATGTATATAAAGTTAACACTCAAGTATGTTCTGCAGAAGAACAGTAACAAAGAACATCAAAGCTGGAAGAATGGATGAGCTTCATTTCCATATCTAATAGCAAACCAGCAAACCAGAGGACATATTTTTCACCCACCATCCAGGAAGAAGCAAAAAAGAAAAAGAAAAACTTAAATTTTTGCCATAAATGCCATTTACAAGTCATACGAGTTGTAATTTTCATGATAAAAGCATCTCCGTCGCATATAAAACAAGCACACATGTCTAACTCTGCACCTTGTACAAAATATTTAACACAGTAAGCATGAATCTAGGTTACCTGAACTCAAGGCTTGAGTTAGAATGATCTGAAAAAAATCTATCCGGACAAATGGAGGAATCTGAAGATTTAGGAAGTCCATGACACCTGAAATAACCTGTTGTCCAAATGAATTGGTAAGGTATATGTAGGAGACCAAATCAGAATGTTCAAAGGAAATAAACAAATTCAATCTCAGCATTCTGCTTCACACATCTATTGACAAAGCCCGGATAAGACCCGAGGAGACGTGCACATGTGTGATATACAAAATGGGTAATACACGACTTCATCAGCAGAGAAGGTGACTAAAGCTTGTCCAACATAAACTGCACTGGTGCTATTTTCGTCAGCAGTGAAAATATATATATAATCTCTGCATATTATGGTATAAATTACAATACCTTATCTACAAGCCCATGGATCAATAAATTTGCTTTCTTGTCCTTCGGAGTTTTCTGTGAAGTTGGAACAAAGTACATAATAAATAACTGGAAGATCAATGATGAGAATAACGTAAAACATGGGCCTTACACATATGGAAGCAGCATTTAAGGGAAAGATAGAGTGGCCATGGACATGAGAAAGTTCTCAATATCAATTTCTACATGAAATGAGATTTAACCTTGTGCTTTTCAACTGTTGAAATTTTTTTAACTGACATCTCCAATATCTTACAGCCCATAAACAACAGCCATGAACTTGCACAGAAATGCATCTGCTAGTGCATGCTTTTTCTATTCTTTCCAGACCCACTTAAATTTACTTCAAGCGAAAGAGGAAATCACCTGAAGGTTGACAATTACAATCTTCCCCCCACCACGGAGCGATTTTAGAGGAAGGTTGCATGCTGGAGTGATCTGCAAACTGCAACAATAGCACCAGTAAGAGAGAACTTCATGCCCTAAAACATTTACAGTCTGACTTATCCCTTTCTAGCCCTAGTTGTTTTATTAACATGGAGATGTATAATCCATTCCTGATTTTCAACTAGGCTGCCTAGACATTACAACTATTTACAGTATAAAGTCTATCAACCATAAAGTAATAGTATTTCACATATTTCATAATAATATAAAAAATACTTCCAAAAAAAATAAAGAATTGGGATGTCAAATGCAAATATTAAAATTGCAAGAAGATGAACCAAAATAAAATCTATAAAAATCACGATGTTCAAACTGTAAGAGTAGGCCCACTTAATTTGCATCTCTGGTAAGGTATGAAAGACCCCATAAGGGGATAACTTTGAGGAAAGAAAACACAATTTGTATATATCATACCAAGAAAAGGGCTGCTTACAAAAAGTAAAGCTAAAGTTAGGTAACTCTGTCGTTACCTTGTCCCCAAACATAAAACAACGTCAGCTATCCTGCAGTGCTTCTCAGCCAGATTCATCTCCTTTGAGGGCAATGCATCCTGCACACAAAGTGAAAGAAAGTGAGGCTTTCCAACCATCAACAATTTTCATAAGATGCATGAACCAGCCACAATCCATGGAACTTCTCCCTATTTCTCAGCCCAAAAAAAAGGGAAAGGAATCCATTTCTGAAACCAAACCCTTATTTTAACGTGATTAATCCAAACACTTAGTGCAACCTCTTTTATTGTTGAAACAAAGAATTTATTTCATCCCCATGGACATCCAACCAGCAACCGAATTATTAGTAAGCAATACCTCCCAGTCAAGAACTGTATCCTTAAGCCGTGCTCCACATTTTTTATCTGAGCACCGTCTTGAAGTCTCCTTCAATCCAATAGTCTCCACCTCAAAATCCCTCAAATACCTTTACAAGTTTAAATCATGAAATTAAATTTTCATTTACTACAAAAGCAGCCAAACTGTAAATAAGAAAAAATATTGACTTCACTACATCAACTGTCCCCCACCCTAATTCCAAAGAAAAAGAAAAATAGCGAGGAAAGGCAACAAATAACAACAATAATAGGATGATATAAAGAGAAACCCTTACTCGACTCCACAAGAAGGGCAGGTTTCCAAAAAGGAGTTCCCATGTAACTCGGCAAGTTTCTCCCTCGGTATTCCAGATCGAAGATGAAGGCCATCAACATTCTAGCATTCAGTAAGTAACAGGTAATAAGAATGAAGAGAGATAATTAACCATTTAAGGGAGTGCAAGAATGAAATACGAAATAGTGTGTAAAAAAAGCCTAAATGGAATTCTTTTGAAAGTACCATGGTTAGACAAGAAAAAAAAAGAAACAAAAACAAAGGAATTGCTAACGTCGCCCAAATTAGTAAAAATCCAGAGTACCAACATACTAGTCGGCAGTAAAAACTATATGTTCTTGATGACCCCTTTCCCCGGTCCCAATATAGGAATAAGAAAAACGGAAAATGTAAGGTCAAAGACTCAAACACGCTAGCATCAAAAGCATGAAACAGGGCTTAAGCCACGCGAATAAGTAATTTGAAGCAATTATCAATAATCTTCAACATAAAGAAATTTTCAGTAGTACGCGTACCTGGCTAATAACAAACTTCAAAATTCCAGCCCTCTCCAATTCAACCAAAGCCATATGAGTCATACTTGGCATTGCACGATGAAAGGGCAATGATGCTTCAGGCAATGCTTTGCCTTCACGCTGCACTAGTAAATAGAAATCAGAACCATCCATAGTACTCCACAGGGACATGAATGTTTCTTTCCCTTTGTCATTATAATTCTGGTACAAGTATGATTACATATCTTACAGCTTGGACAAGCCAAAAACATGAAAGAATGAGGACTCCTTTTTACTACGTTTCTCATACATTCACTATATGAGAGAGAGAGCGAGAGAGAGAGAGTTACAAAGGAAGGACACAACTTCTTTCCAAAATCGAGTTCTCATAGAATGAGCTAGAAACCTAGAAGAAATTAAAGACAGCAAAAAAGATTTAAGTGGCACAATTACCGTTTTTCACTGACTCCATGACTCCATCGTAAGTTTGATAGAGGTAGTTAGTATAGGGGAGAAGCATCAATCGATATAGATGTGCTTATTTAAAAAGGACTGGAGGTTTATAATTTTGCAGAGACGAAAAAGTTGCTAGGATTCTTTTATTTCTTATAAGAAACAATCTTATTTATAAAAAAGATGCATCTGGGATGGACAAGAAGCCATCATATCTAACATACAACCTTCAAAACTCAAACCCAAATTACATTCCCCCACCAAGAATAATCAAACCAAAATGGGGTACTTCAATTTTATTTTATTTTTTCAACAAAGAAGCCCAAAGAGAAACTAAAAATTTAGTCTCAGGTTTAAGGATTCTCACCTGCAGAGTCCAAATTCCCTTTGGACCTCGAAAATCAGGTATACCACAAGAAGTCGAAATTCCTGCACCTGTAAACACCACTAGATGCTTGCTCTACAAAGTGCAAAGGAAACTCTTAGAGACCTTAATTAAATAAAATCAAATATGAAGTACACATATAGCGTCATGATAAATGGGAAGTGTAGGCTCAAACCTTTTGTACCAACATGGCGAGCCGTTCAATCTGCCAAAAAAATACATACACACGATGTTAGCAAATGAGGATACATACACAAAATCTTTTGCATAGGTTAGAGGCACACAAATGAAAGATCTTGATGATACGCAAGCACAAAAAGTGAACAAACATGCAAAGGAACTGGCAGTTAGTAAGATATCCCAATACTTTTCAAAATGTTTGAAGTAAACCTTCATAAATCGAAAAAATATCAGCAAAGTTGAATTATTGACAATAAAATTCTGGGAACTAAAAGATAATTCACGACTCCTAAGTTTTAAAAAGGTATCTGAGTCCTGAATACCAACAAGACAACAATGCCACTATAGGAAAGAGACAGATTCAAGCAAACAAAGCATATATTTGGGTTTAAATATTAATAGTACAATCGGGTTCACTCCATCAGCACACTTCATTTGTTGGATAAATAAGATTTGTACTGGAAAGCACCACAATGGCATTACCCATGTGCACAAACCGTAACACAGAAAAACTACAATGGAAGATAAGCAAATTAAATCAATCACACAGGAGAAAGAAAAGACTGTGTCTTTGTCCACTCCATTAGTATACTTCAGCTACATTCCATTCCAACATGTTAAAATGATAATCTATACCTCCTTAAGGCTATAGACATAGATGTGATAACCAAAAGCACAGGTATGTAAGAAATGCCACAACCCAAAAATGAGCTAACAAAGCTCAACTGATAGATTTACAAAGCAAGTAAAATCCAATCAAATTGCAAATGAATGCCTAAACCCAGATGTCAGATCTTAATAAGCATGTAAGTAGAACGAAAACATCTACATCCCGCAGCAAACTAATGCCATAATTGCGCCAAATGTATGCAGAAAACCTAACATTCATGGAGATCACAATTCTAGAAGATCAACAAAGACACTAACTTTAAGAACAAGTATACAGAACTCAAAAGAGAACAGAAGAGAATGAGAAAAAGTTTCTCACTTTTTCTTGCAAAACGTGAGGTGGGTCGAAATGTTCAGTCATTCCGACTTGGCCCACATCTTCTATGTAGGAAAGCTTCTCTGCATAACCCAGGGACATGGTCACTCTGATGTTTCGTATACCACTTTCGCTATTTAGAAATCTGTTTTTTGGTCTGAATTCTCTCGAGAAAGTTTGATCGAAAGGAACGAAGGTGGAGAGTTAGAGACCCTCTTGTTTTATTTCTTTTCTTTCTTCCCTCTCTATTTTAAGGAGACCCAAAAGCCAGAATGAGGTACTGATTTGATTTGCCTAGAAGGAAATAATATTGTCACAAGAATCTCGATGGTTAGGACTTTTAATTAGGAGCTAAAGCTTTTTCTCTATCAGACCAAAAAAAAAAAAAAACCTTTTTCTCTATGAACCATAAATATGGATTCAACTTCAACCGTTCAAGCCAAGGTGCCTGTATGTATTCTACTAAAAAATAAATAAGGGTTTTTTGTTTTGTCAACTAAATAACGTTAATTTGGAGTAATTATCTTGAATTTATCTACGAGTTACATTTTAGTCTTTCAATTAATTTTTAGTACTCCTTCAACTCGACCATATGTCGCACATTAACTTTATTTAAGAATTTAGGCCACGGGCCAATACCAAACAAAACAATAGAAAACAAATATTGCTAATCCAAAAATAAAAAGCCCCTAACTAATCAGACTCATCTCGTTAGAACCCTAGTGCGGATTGGGCATAGAAACCCAAGTTATTATGAACCAAACTTCCTAACTTAATATGTCCCTTATGGAAGTTATCCCAGTAAACAAACAAATAACTCTCATCTACTTTATCGCGAAAGTAGCTGATCCCTTACTAAAAGCCATCATGAATCCCCTCAGAATGGGCATAAGCCACAGCTCGGTCAGCTTCCATCAATTCCCTCTGAAGGCATGTCAGAGTTTCTTCAAGCGAGTCTCGCTTCTTCTCTATCATGTAATACATTGTTCATGGGGAAGTTTCTCTATCACTATCGGAATGCAGGTGACAACGACAGATGAGACGCGATGGACCGAGATCACCCCTCATTAAGGGCCAAAGTCATCTCTTGTTAGGCTGTAAGTCTTCAAATAATTAATTCATATTCTTCATTTATTAAATAAAAATAATAATGTATTTTCTCTTTTTATAACAAAAGGGACAGCTTGCAGTATTCATATCATTCAGTGATACTGATGATTTTATCAATTTCTACTTGAAAAGATAATGGGACTATTATTGTATTCTATTCCAAAGGACAGTCCCAAGTAGGACTATTTTTTGTAGTGACCCCTTATTAAGTATGAAGGCCCAAAGTCATCTTTTGTTAAGCGATAAGGACCAAGATCAACCTTCCATTTCCTAACATGGTCCGGCCAATGCCAGCAACGGACGAAAGGAGCACCAGAATGGAGTCCACATCCATTATCGGATCTTGATCGAGTCCTGAATTTGCACTCGCAACTGAGCAATGAGTTTGGGACTTCAAAGGAACCCCTGCCGGAACGAACTTCAATCCCCTTAATACTTCATTTTTTGGATGAGCAACCTTCATGGGAATGTTGGCACAAAGGCGAAAAGTGAAGCTTCACTCTACGTTTCTAAGCCATGGAGTTCAGGTACTTGAAAATCATCATCCAAGGGCCTTTTTATAGTTTCATTCGAGATGATTCTATCAATTCAAGCAATTCCATAAAAGTTTAAAATTCGAATAGAAATTTTATCGAGCAATTGCAACTAAAGAACGGAGTTATAGACCGAAACTTGGGATATCACAAGCAAAACACGTTTAGCAAAATTTGAAGTTGAGGTAGTTAGTCACCCAAGTAGGTGAAGCGACCTAAGTGTGTGTTCAGTGTAAACTTTAGTGCTGATTCCTGTTTGGTACCCTATGGTTGCACTCGTAAGGCATGTTTGTCTGTGTCTTCTCAATTTTAACAATTAGGTATTACGTTCTTTCCCATTTTTTGCAATGCGGTTCCTCCGTTAGGAGAAATTATACAGTGATACGGTACTACCACGTGGCAGTGCCAGGTGGTAGTATGGACCAATAGAATTATGACATCTGGCACTACTGTTATTAGAGAGAGAGAGCGGTTTCATTAGCACAAATGTTAACGCCGTTACTCTCTTCCTCTTTTTTTTCTTTTTTTCTGTTTCTTTCAAAGCAAAGTAACCCTAACACGTGAATTGTCATTGGAGTCTGCACCAACATTCAGAAAATACTTCAGAGAAAAAGAACACCTTTTTCAGCTAGAAAACTATGGATCTCTTTCTCTTATGATCTCTGTTGATTTTGTTTCCCCATTTTTGCAGATCTTTTCTTCTTTTTTTCCAATTTTTGCACTCTGTTTCCTTTTTTTTTCCTCGTTAGTTCCTCAGTTTTGTTTTGGACTAAGAATTATGTGAGATCTCATCCCAGGCTCCAACTCCTCTTCTCCAAGTTTGAAAGTAAGGCTACCTTCCATTTCGTAAGATTTTCTCACCAGTTTTCCAACTAGACTCTCTGTATTCATTTATTTCTGGTAGTCTTTTGGTTTAAGTTTCTTCAAATTTTTTTCGAATTAGAATCCTACTGCAATTTTTTGTTTTATATGTTTGGCATGATTTGCTTCACTTTTGGGGTTTTGGTTTTGTTTCAATTTTTATTTGGAATGTCTTGATTTGTGAGATGGAAGGAGTTTGATTTAGATTTGTTTTTCGTAGCATAACTTGCAGATTTGTTTTTCGTAGCATAACCTGCAGATTGTGGTTTTATTTTTTTTGCATTTTCTTATTGCAACTGATACATGATTTTATTTCTCAGTTTCCAAGGTGATGAGTAAGTTAATTTGGTTTGGGTATATTGTTAATGGAACGATTTGGTTAATTCTATATGTCCTAACAGATTTTTTGTTTCTTTCATATGATTTGAGTAATTGCTCTGTTTATTCAAACACAAACAATTTGGGTAGCAAGAGCAACCCTTTCTCTGTTCTTTTGCTATTTTGTTGTACCTTACAAACAATTTGAGCATATTACTGCTTAATTGAGCTTGTTTCTCTAATATTTTTAGGGTGCAAACTGTTGGATATCCCTCGTTAGTGGAGTGAAAAGGTGTAGCTGGTGTTGATTGGTAGCAATAATTCTTGTCTATTTGCAATATCCTTGAAGACACTTGTTGAACATATGGTTAAACTCAGGATTCCCATAATAACTTCCCAAATTTCTTGCAGCATTTTGAGATATATGCCACGAGCATAAACGATGACATATCCCAGGAAAAACTTTTTCAATGCCATTTGCCATTGCCTGACATTGATCAGTAAAAATAGTCTTTGGTTTTCGACCTCCCATTGATTCTAAAAATGTCTCAAATAACCAAATAAATGAATCAGTTTTCTCATCCAATAAAAAAGCACAACCAAATAGTACGTTTTTCCAATGGTGGTTGACGCCAACAAAAGGAGCGCAAATCATGTTATACCTATTAGTTCGATATGTAATATCAAATACTACCACATCCCCAAAACAATCATAGTCAATTCGTGACCTTCCATCTCTCCAAAAGAAGTTTGTCATTCGGTGTTCTTGATCCACTTGCACTGTGTAAAAGAACATAGGATCTTCAGCTTGTTTGCGCTTGAAAAGGTTTATCAAGCTTTGAGCATCACCAGCTTCAATCATGACCATTTTCTCCTTATTGACAACATTGTAGCAATCTCTTTTTGTAAAACGAACATTTTGAGACCCACCAACTTCTTCTGATAAATAAGAGTATGTATTTGTGGTCCTTATTCCTGCATCCACCATGGTTTTAATCACACCCAAATGCGCTTCTGACACTTTTCTATTTGATCTCAAAAATTACCTTTCTTCCGGCATAGCAAGTTCATGGTTATGTTTAGAAACACAATGAGAAACTTTCCACATACCATTGTCATCTTGGAAGGCAAATCGAATTCTAGCTTCGCAACCTGTTCTCATCTCTAATTTGTTAGCCATGCTCACTTCTGAAGGGTCACTATCTAGTCGAAAACCTTTTTTTGAACAAAAATAACTAAATTGCTGCAAAACTTTTTTTGTATTGTATCTCTTTTGTCCCCTCTGGACACTAAATCCAGTTCTCGTAGCATAACTGTTATAGAGATTATAAGCTTCCTCTTCAGTGGACACAACATTTCCAAGCAAATCTTCTTCAAAACTTTCCATACGATTGACGATCATTGGATTTTCTTCTTCACTTTCAATATCAATAACTGCTTGCACATGCCACAACGTTATTTTAAAAACAAAACAAACAAAAAATTAAGAGTATAATTGTTAATAAAATACTTTTAACAAGTACATCTGTGTGCTACTTAAAAAAAAAATATTTCATGCAAACAGCCAAGTTAACGAAATAGATATGCAAAAAGTAATTAGACTATATATGTGCAACTAACTATATGTGTGAATCTAGTTCCACTTTATCAGAATAGTAAAAAGAACAACCTACAGAAATCGAAAAAAAAAATTATAGCCTGCAACAATCGAAAACAACATGTAGAAATTAGGAAAAAAAAAAGAGCTGTATAAAGTAAAGGATTGTTTGATTGATGTACCATTATCCGTTTTTGTCAGAGGCAAGTCCTTTATTTTTTTGGGGCGGCAGGTGGTTCCTTTTCTTCGACTGCAGATGTATTTTCTGAATGTTGGTGCAAACTCCAATGGCAATTCATGTGTTAGGGTTACTTTGATTTGAAAGAAACAGAAAAAAAACAATTAAAAAAAGAAGAAGAGAGTAACGGCGTTAACATTTGTGTTAATGAAACCGCTCTCTCTCTCTCTAATAACAGTAGTGCCAAATGTCATCATTCTATTGGTCCGTACTACCACCTGGCACTGCCACGTGGTAGTACCGTATCACTGTATAATATCTCCTCCGTTAGGGGTTCCGTCAAATCTTATGTTAGTTGCCTAGGTGGCATTTATGAGTCCCACAGTTTTGTTTTTGGTTTTTAGCTATAATAAAATAAAATAATAGTAAATTTATGTTTTAGCCATAAAAAAAAAAATTCACTTTTGGAAAAAGCCAAAGCTTTTTCAAAAAAAGACAAAAAAACCTCTCAACTTTAAAATTAAAGACATGCAAATGTAAATGATTCCTCAGGAAATCCAAAAATAAATAAGGGCAATTTTGTCCATTTTGGCTTCTTTTACAAAATTTCTCTCTCCTTTGGGTTTTTCCAAAGTCTTCTTAAAATAATCATAGAATTTTTAAAAATCAATTAAAAATAAAAATTTAT